GTGTGTGCGTGTGTTTGTGCGTGTGTGCGTGCGTGTGCGAATATGGACGCTCATCCAAATTACCCTGCCCCCCTCCTCTGGGGTCCAAAACCCTGTTAGAAGAAGGGACGCGGGGAGGGGAGGGGGGCGGCGGGGGGGGGCCTGGGGGAGCACGAGGCCTCAAGAACACCCAAGATGGAATCAAGATTGCCCAAGACGCCCCAAGAGGGCGTCAAGAGGACTCCCGAGAAGGGCATCAAGAACCAAGAACCAACGATTTTCCATCGGTTGTTGATTCATGCTCGCGCTCTCGCTATTTCTGCCCGATAGGACCTCCAGACGGGCCCGAACCCTGGAGACGGCCCAAGAATGCCCAACGACTGCCAAGAAGGCCCCCGAGACCCCCATAGAGGGCCCCGAGAGGGGCCCAAGAGAAGGAAACCGCAGGGACCGTGGGAGCCCTCCCCCACACGATGGCCCCCAAGACCCTCAACGTGCTTCCAAGAGACACCCGAGAAGAGCCCTGAAAACGCTCCAAGAAACCGCCCCCCAGGCCTCGAAGAGGCCCTCAAAAAGCCCCGCAACAGACGCGGAGGAAGAGGAATCCAAATCAGCAGCATCTACACCTAGGCAGCACAACGGGAAGCGGCGAAAAACGCGTCCGACATCGGAAGCCGCACATATCGTCTTCTGAAGATCGGCGGAATGGCGTAAGCCTCTTGAATATGTTCGTAGAACTTACCGTATGTGCAATAAGGCAGTAATGAGCCAGGAAGATGCTGCAAAGTGATGCCGTTTGAACTCGAAATACACCCACGAACAGCAGTCACAAAAAAGCAACTAAAATCCGTTCGGCAAAAAGCCGTGGCCGCAAGCAGCAATCACGGAAGTGCCGTCGACAGTGATTGGTCCAAGGCGTCTTGCGAGGACGAAGAGCAGGATGACGACGACGTACCCCTCGCGGCAAGAGACTGCGACGGGAAGGTCGCCCGACGAACCAGGAACGCAGCACGAGGAAACCCCTCCTAGAGGAACCCTCGGGCAGAGAACCGTTGACAGGGAGACAAGAGCGGCAGACCGCATGCTTGTACTCATTGCTTGAGAGATCCCTGAAGGGCGGAGCGAGAGCGCGGGAGGGAAGGGTGCCAGCAGGCCCACAAGAGCAGAACCGAACGCCCCGTGGCGCGAGCAAATTCTGACTCGAAAGAGATGGGACATGCAATTCAGTGATACGATACATTAAAACTTTCCGCGCTTATGACCAAATTCTTGACTCATATTGTAGACGGTCGGAATTTAATCCCGGCCCGCTTCCCCGTGGCACGCGCTCTCCCCAGCCAAGCGTCGCGCTCCTCGGCCCGTCTGCAGAGGCCAGCCAGCTCATCCGATGGGTTGCGCGGCCCACAGCCAGAATAGAACGTATTCCCTCTCGCATCTGCCACGCCTTGTCTGAAACTGTTATGAATTATTGGGGGAACAAAAAGTGACATAAGCATAAAAACTCGGAGCTCCGCGCGGATTTCTCGGATCGGCGCTGGGGCCCCCTGACGGCGCCTCCGGCGCCGCCCCTGGCGCGCTCCGCGCGCCAGGGAGGGGGGTCCAGCGCCGATACGAGAAATCCGCGCGGACCTCCGAATTGTGATTTTTATGTCACTTTTTGTCCCCCTAGAATTATACTACATGGGTGCCCACTCAGATCCTGAGGGTCTTCAGAGGGGGCTGCGCCTGCACATGCACCGCCGCACCTCCGCCCGTGGGCGACCGTGGGCCTCCCCCGAGCAGGAAGGCGCCGCCGATCCCAGGGCCCTCCGCGTCCGCCTGTTGGCCTCTCTCAAGGAACCTGCCGACCAGCCATAACTGGGGGAGCTGTGGTCCTTACCCCCCTGGGTGAACCCATCGCCTCGACGATCTCTCGAGAGGGGTGTCGAAATCGATGGGTCCCCCAGGGGGGTAAGGACCCCAGCTCCCCCAGTTGTGGCTGGCCTGACCTGAACAGCGCAGACCACTCTGCCGGCTCGGCCCGGCCAGCTCCCTCTGCCGAGGGGCGCTCTTTGCCGCCGCAGCGGTCCCGGGTGGCCTCGAGGTCCGTCTGCTGAGGAGCCCGAGACTGGCCAACGAGAACTTCCCACGGCATCCGTGGGGTGGTGATGCCGATAGCCCCGTGGGGCTCCCCGTCTGGCAGCTGGCCAGCGGCTGTAGCGCAGCTCACCGCGTCGCCGTTGTTGTGATCGCCGTCATCTCCACCGTAGACGAAGACCTCGATGTACCGCGTATCCATGTACTTATCATTCAGGCTGTCTCTCGCAACCTCAGCGTCCTGGCGACTCCGCATCTGTACCACGGCCTGGCCCGAAGGTCGGCCGTTCGCTTTGCGGAGCAGCTGCGTAGCGTCTGGCCGGTCGGCGATGCGGTCGGCCACGTCATGCTGCGCGAAGAACGCGAGCACGTCCTGCACCGTCACGCTGAAGGGTAGCCCCCGCAGCCGGACCGCCGCGACGACCGCGCCCTCGTCGCCCTTGGCAGCGGCCTTGGTGTCCAAGCCAAAACCTGCCGGCGCCCCGTGCGCAAACGGGTGGGTCGCTGGGTGCAGGTGCAGGTGGCTCCTGGCCGCGGAGCCATCCCCGCGCCCCTCACGCGGTTTCTCCCCGTGCCCCTGCTCCTGGGATGTCGTACAGTCGCCGCCTTCGCCTGGGCCCGCGCCGGGTGGCCAGGCAGCAAAGGGCTCGTGCTCCCAGGGGGCCGTCCAGTAGGGCCACCCAACGCCTGCGCCGAAGGCTGCGGAGATGTCCGCGGCGGGCCTGGTCTGAGCGGCGTCGCCTGGCAGCGACATCCCAGGACCAGCCAGCAGCGGCGGGGTGCCTCCAAAGGCCGGCGAGGCCCAGACGCTCGGCGGCGTGGCCCAGATGCTCGAGGGACTGCCCGTCGGGCTGCCCGTCGGCTCCGGAGAGGCTGGCTGCCGGTCCATCATGACCGCCGCCAGGGCCCACTGAAAGAGGGGATCGGCAGTCATCAAGAGGGGGTCGGCCATCATCGTGCCGTGGAAGCAAGCATCCAGTCCCGTGTCCAGATTTGCCCCCGCTCCAGCCCACAGAACCTTCTCGCCACCCTTTGGGCCCTCGAAGTGAAACTCCGGGTGCCGCGCGAGGAACTGCTTCAGGCTCAAGTTTGCGCCTCGAAGGTAGCTCCGTGAAGGCGCCGACAGCGCGACGCCGAGCATGCTCAGCAACAGCTGGGACCCCTGCGCCCGCACGTGGTCGCGGCACTCCTGCAGGACTCTGTCTGGATTGCAATCGCCTTCGGGCCTGCACGCGTCAGGAGCGCACTCCTGCGAGCAGGCATCTGCAGCGCGTCGTTGACACGTCTTCGCCAGGCGGTCAGACCAGGCGAGCACCTCCACGTACCGGTCCCCCATGAGCTGCTTGTGCAGCTGCTCCCTGCAGAACTGCGCCGCCTGCGGGCTCGTGAACTGCAGGCGGGCGAAGCCCGATGGCTTACCGTCACGGTTGAGCAGAAGGCGGATCGACGACTCCGTGCCGACGAGGCTCGCGGCATGGCTCCCGAGAAAAACCCGGATGTCCGCCGTCGTGGCCCGGAAGGGCAGCCCCCGCAGCTGAACGGCGCACTGGTCCGGGCCATCCTCGAGCGGCTCGCCCTGGGCGAGAACGGCGTCCCCCTCGGCGCCGCGCCCCCCCGGACCCCGCGGCTCTGTGCCACTGGTCGGCGTCCCGATGCCTCGTGGGCGGGGAACATGTCCTTAAGTCGGGCCTTTCCTCCTACAGGGGTGTCTTGGACGAAAAATTAAGAATCCACCCAAAAACACACGCCCAAAATGCGCCAAGATGCTCAAGACGTCGCCCCCAGATTATTTCTTTGACTGTTTTTGAATATTCGGCGGTGGACAAACCTCCCTTTAGTAAACCTCCCCTTAGTGAAAACGGCCTGGGACCGAATTCGACGGATCTGAACCCGCAAAAATGATGGCCGCGACGCCCTCTCGCGAACCGAAAACGGTAAATTCCTCAATCGACGTGTCAGGGTAGGAGGTCTGTCCACCCCCGAAATACCCCTCTGACGTGTCCGTGTCCACGGCCTCTCGGGACAGGCCCCCGAGCCGCGACCCCACGGACACGGGGCGCGCTGCCGCGCATGCCCCGCGCGGAGCGCCTGGGCGCGACCGCGCATCTATGAAGGGGCCCAGGGACACACGAAGAAGCACACACCAATCCCAGGATGCCCCATATCTTCGCACACACCTTCTGGCTCCTCGTCTTCCCCCCCCCACTTCCCATGCTCTCCCATCTCCTCCTGGGGGTCGACGAGGAAGTGTGTGTCTGCGTGTGCTCCCCTCCCGGATCTGGCGGATCGCGCCCCGGAGTCCAGACCGCGAGAGCGTGGACAGGAACCGGTTCGCCGCCCGTGGAGAGGCCGCCGCCTCCGCCCGTGCCCGCTCCCGGGGGCCGGGCCGCGGGCGCGCGGCCCACGGTGAGGCGGACCTGCTCCGCGCCGGGCGGGCCCGTGAGCTCCAGCAGGCTCGGGTACCTTCGGGTCGGGCGAAAGGGGGGGATAGCAAAGGGGGGGTTGGAGAATCAGCTCACGTGGCTGATTTTCCCGGCGCCTCGAAGCGCCGGAGGCGGCTATGTATCGAGGAATGGGCCCCTCGGTGAGGCCGAAACCAGCTGCATGCAGCAAATTTCGTAACCCCCCCTTTCCCAATCCCCCCCTTTCGCCCGGCCCGATACCTGCTCAGCCACTTCTGGAGGGTGCCGACGCCGGCGGCGCGCACGAGGGGGGGGGGGGGACAGGGGCGAGGCGGGCCAGACGGACGGACGCTCCCAGCGCGCCGGGGCGCGGTCCCACGAGGAAGGGAGCGGTGGCGCCGTGGCGCCGGGCACCCAGACGAAGGACACTGCAACGAGGGCGTGGTGCGAGCAAGGACGGGGGAGAAGCAAGACGGCAGCGAGGCGGGTGGCCCTCTGGTGCGAGCAGGGGGCATATCCATGACGACCGCCTGACGTCCTGGGACGCCAGGCGGTGGGTGTGGATATATGTTGGCCCAGGGGGGGCCCCAAATCCATCCAGGTCAACCGCCTGCCAAGGTCCCTGGAGATCAGTCCCCCCATCCCCCAGGCGGTGGTCATGGATGAGTCCCCGCCTCGGACTCTGAGGAGGCAGGGCGGGCTGGGCGCCCCTCGGAAGGGATCGGAGAGAAGGCCTCGTCCGAGGCAGGCGAGCGCTTGTCGGCCACACGCATGAGCGACCCTAGGCAAGAGTGGCCTTTGGCGCGCGGCATTAGATGGGCGCGGGGGTCCCAGATCCGAGTGCGCAAGCCACTGCTGTCGCACATCTCTCGGCAATCGGGGGACGCGCCAGTGGGCCCGCACCAAAGGGAACTCTTGCGAAGGGCTGCTCTTGCGTGTATTCGATCCCTGGTCATCGCTCGGACGTCCATTCCCTGTGTTTTTTTCGGTTTCGTGCATGGTTTTTTGGGAAAATGATCAAGGATGCTCCTCAAAGGTCCTCGCCGAAGGGAAAATGCACACGTCCGAGCGATGCCAAGCCACAGGGGGGCCCCTGGGGGCCCCCAAGGGCACGACCCCAATCCAGCGGGCATGGCCACACTCTGGCGGTGGTCCTTGAGGGCGAGAATGGTGTCATGATGCGACTGGCTCAAGATACGCTCCAGGAGTTCTGGAGCATCGAGCGGCCCTCGTTCCTGAAACCCCTGCGCAACGTCCGGAAATCTTTGAGGCCCTGGAAATCGGGGGAATCTCGGAACGCGCCAGTCTCGTGATCCTGTGCTCCTCTGCGCCTCCGAGGGCCACAGCCCCCGCCCCCCTCCTGCGCGCCGCCGAGATGTCCTCCGCGCAGCGGCGCAGCCTCGGCTGGTTCATTTCCGTGAGCCTGTCGGGCGGGGGGTAGTGGGGGGTGGCCTAAACTGAAGGAGCCCTGGGAGACGCAAATAAATAGACACACATAACAGGATTCCCCATATTTTCCCATTCTTTCTGGGTGTCTGTCTTCCCCCCTACTTCCCATATATTCCCATATGTTCTGGGGAGTCGACGAGTAATTGTGTCTGTGTTTTCCCCCTCCTGATCAATAGGGGGTTAAGGGGAGGGCCTTAAGAGGGGCACCTCAGGGCCCGTTATGGGCCCCATGCTGGCCCCGAAAGGGGCCCGAAAGGGCCCCATTTAGGGCCGATGTCTTCACCCCCCGCTTGGGTCACCCCCCATTGCAAGGGGCCTCCTAGATGGGGTCGGAGTAGATGGGGCCGGAGGATCGCACCGCATCGCCAATGCATCGCCGATGCATGGCCGATGAATCGGCGATGTATCGGCGATGCACCAGCGAGGCTGGCGATGCATCGGCGACGTCGGCGAGAAGCATGTCGGGCTCCGCCTCGAGCCGCATCGCCGATGCATCGGCGATGCGGCGCGATCCTCCGACCCCATCTACTCCGACCCCATCTATCGGGGATGGACAGACCTCCCTTCAGTAAAACGTGGTTTAGTGAAAACGACCTCATGCCCAAACCTGGCGGGCGCAAGCCTGGAAAATGACGGCCGCAGCGCCCTCCCGAGAACCGAAAACGGACAATTCACGAACCGACGTGTCAGGGTAGGAGGTCTGTCCACCTCATCCTCCTCCTCCTCGGGCGTGGCCGTCCTCCTCCTCCTCCTCCTCCTCCTCCTGCTCCTCCTCCTCCTCCTCCTCCTCCTCCTCCTCCTCCTCCTCCTCCTCCTCCTCCTCCTCCTCTTCCTCCTGGAATTGCCGCCCGCCCGAGCCTGTCGAGGAGCGCGGGCAGGGCCATGCAGTGGCCCCGCTGCCGCCCCAGCTGCGCCACCAGGTTCGCCAGGAGCACGCTCTCCGTGAGCGGCTCCTCCCCGCGCGGGGGGGCCCCCGAGGCGTCCGGGCCCATCGGGCCTGGAGACGCGCCCCTCCCCAGGCCTGCTCGCGTCCTGAGAAACATCGGGGCGGGAGGTTCGTGGCCGTGCTGGGCCGCTGGGGGGGCATGCTCGCGGCCCGAAAAAATCGGGGCGGGAGGGTATTGGCTATTGGCCGTTTGTGGCCTCTGGGGCCCTCCCCCCCCCCCCCCGGGCCCAGGACCGTCAAGAGACGACTCGGGATGAGCACTCGGTCCCGGGAAAGGGGTCGGGACCCCGCACTGAAAAAATCAAGACATCGCATGTCTGGGTCTGGATCTCGCGGAGCGTTGGACATGCACATCTCCCGCCCCCAGCAGGCAGAAGGAAACCCTTATCCAGCGCTCCGCAGAGCTCCTCGGGGGCGCGTCTCGGGACTGGGTGGATATGGACAGATCCCCCGCGGAGGTCCTCGGCTGCAGGCAGGGCGCCACCAGCAGGGGGTTCGTCAGGGAGCTTCCGGGCTGCGCCAGCAGCCGCGTCGTTGTCTTGAACAGAAGTGTCATGCTCATTCTCACCATCTGGACGTCCATCCAGTCGGCTTGTGCCGCCCCCCATTGCTGAGCACCCCTGTGTCAACCAAGAGGCGGCAATCTCAGCCAGATTGGCTACGGATCGGGTGTGGGTGTAGAAGGAAAGCTATTTGAGCCCGCATTTGGAACTGGGGTCTCGGCGTTCTGCCCCTCCGCACAAGCCGAGGGAGGTCCGCACAATCTAGTGGTGGTAGTGCACCAGAGCCAGAACCAGCCCACCTGCAGTTCGCCAGATATAGTGTCATCCCAGTGTCGTGAAAAAACTCAAGACGCAGGGTCCTGCTCGCAGGACCCTTACGAGCAAGCCCTCCGTCGGGTGCAGGATAGTGCTGAAGGTGCTGGGTGGTTTGCACAGGCGGGCCCCCGCCACGCACCATGGCGGCGACACCAGGGTACGGCTCAAGGACGTACCCGTTGGCTGCGCCGAGGGGCGGCCCTTGAGACCTTCCGAGCCCAGCGCGAGGATGACAAATTACAGCACTGCTCACAGTGCCCCAACTCTCAAGCTACCCTGGGACACTGGATACTCCGTTGTGCTACCCGTACATTTTACGAACACGCCCGGTAGCCTCGACGATGCGATAACTAACCTATGGGTGATCACCGTGGAACGCGAGCGCCGTTGCAAAGTGTGTCCAGAGGCCTGCCCCCCTTCCCCCCGGCCCCAGTGTGCAAACCTGTTGCTGAAGGACTGGGAACATGTCCCCTCGGCATGCCATGTTGCAAAAAACAGCTACACCCAACACTCGCTTCGCTTCGTGTGTTGCCTTACTTCCGCAACCTTGCGCCAACCTTCCGCGAACGTCCGCCGCATGCAATCTGATCGCGCACGCTTCCGCCGCCTTCCGCCGAATTACCTTCCGCAACCTTCCACCGCGCGGGACACGTCGCTGGGTCAGGGGCAGGCAGATGTGGATGGGGCGTCTGTCAGCTCGGCTGCTGGGAAAGAGGGCTGATGCGAGTCAGAGTCAGGGTGGAGATGTGGCCGACTGCGGAGATCCCGAACCCACGAATGTTGACGTCTCACTATACCTCCCGTCGCCTTCCGCCGACCTTCCGCTGGCGAACCCGCCACCCTGCATCCGAAGGCGAGGCACGCCGAAGGTGAGGCCTGTTCTGGAGCGTCCCATGTGAAAGGACGAGTGCGAGGAGCGGGAGGGTGCGAGGCGGGGATTCATCACCACCGCCTGGGGGATCGACCCGCGGGGACCTCGGCAGGCGGTGGATACGATATATATATATATATATATATATATATATATATATATATATATGTGTGTGTGTTGCTCCCCCCCAAAGGCCTGAGTCTATCCATATCCACCGCCTGCCGAGGTGGTCTCTGACGGTCCCAGGAGGGGTCCTGGGGGGGCCCAAGGGTTGTGACACCCCCCCTGGGCGGAGCACTCCCTCTTCGAAAAGCTTACCCGTTCGATTTCTCCCTCCTGGCTTCTCTGGCTCCTCCTCCTCCTCCTCCTCCTCCTCCTCCTCCTCCTCCTCCTCCTCCTCCTCCTCCTCTTCCTCCTCCTCCTCATGTTTTTCGTCCTCCTCCTCCTTCTCCTCCTCCATCCGCTTTCCTTACGAATTCCTCCCTGTCGCACCCCGAGAAGTATCGGCAGGGCGGGCCGGGCTTTTCGCCTGAGACTCCCTCATCACGTATGATCCTGAAGCATAGAGTTTGCATCAGCTCATGAATGAAGCGCGAATGGTTTTCAAACTGTGTCTTTCGCCGTAGCGCCGCGCACATCCGTTATAAAAGATTGAAGAGCTTCACAGATGGAGAACGGGCCGTTTTCAGAACGTGGCTCTCGCCTTGGCGCCGCGCACAGTCGTCTTCGAAGTGTGCAGGGACTTGACGGATGGAGGGTGGGTCGGTTTCAACATGTGGTTCTCGCCTTAGGGCCGCCTACGTTCATCTGAAAATTGTGAAAGCAATTTACGGATGGAGGGTGCTTCCATTTCTAAACGTGGTTCTCGCCTTTGCCGCACATTCGAATTCAAAGGTTGCAAGAGCTTCACGGATGGATGGGGGCTCCTGGTCAAGGTGTGGCTCTCGTTAAGCGCCACGTACACTCATTTTCAACTTGTACAGCAGCTTCAAATATCATTATGCTGGACGCCCCAAGAATGGTGTATGGGCACGGTTTAGGATTGCCAGAGCGCAGCAGTCATGTCGATTCGCTGTGCTGAAGTCCCAGGAATTGTGTTTTGGCACGATTCAAGATCGTCAGGACGCAACAGCAGAGCTGATTCGCGTCGTTGAAACCCCAGGAATGGAGCTTTGGCGCGACTGAGAATGTTCAGCCTGTTGTCTTCCAAGGGGGCATTTCCCGCAGCGAAAACAAATTCTTGCGTGGACGCACGGAGAGGGAACTTGGAGGGAGGAAGTACTGCAACATCGCCAAAGCGTCTAAGGTTTCCACTGGTCCTCATCGTCCTCCTCCTCCTCATCATCATCTTCCTCATTCTCCTCATCCTAGCGAACAGGGTCGGTGGCGCCGGCCGCAAGGCCTTCGCAGCGTACCCATATCCACCGCCTGCCGAGGTCCCCGAAGGTCCACCCCCCAGGCGGTGGCGATGGTTGACATCCCCGCCTCGGAGGGGGGCTGAAGTAGGGGGCAAACAAACCTACCTCGCTTTTGACCACCCTCGCTTCCAAGAGACACCAAGCGATGCCAAACTACGGCCTGTACTGGTCAGGCCGCTTGACGAGGAGGCGCATGGTATGACTTGGTTTTGCCTGGAAGCGAAAGCGGGGTACGGCAGGTTCGTGTCGTGCCGACCCCAGCGTTGGTTTTTGACACCGCAGGGATCGTTCAACCTTGAACGATCGGCCGCTGCCGCAACGTCCGATCGTTCAACATCGATCGATTCTGGGTCGCAGGCGGCGTTCAACCTTGAACGCCCGCGCTGGGGTCGCCGCTGGTCGACACGACGCAAACCTACCGTAGGTCATTCACGCTCTGATGAGGGGCGGTGCGGCCGCTCGCCAGCCCCCCTCGAGACGGCAGGGGCGACCGCCCTAGGCAGACCGTGGGCGGGCGCGCTCGACGGCAGCGGCGGCAGGGCACGCGCCGCCTCTGCAGCGCCCGGGCGCGCTGCTGCCGCATCTTCAGCAGCCTGCCGGCCTCGGGATCGCGGTGCGGTCGCGGGCGGCCGCCGCTGGGCGCTGCCGCCGACGCTCCTCTCGGTGTGGCCCACCCCCAGGAGAGCCCAGAATCGAATCCCAAGTCGGATCGGATCGAAATCGGAAGCCATCGAAGTCGAATCGACTCGAATCGAAGGAATCGAAACGAGCCCTGCACCCCTGGCGCTCACCCCTGGGCGAACCGGATCGGGCACGCGCTGGCACGGGCCTGGGGATCTGGAGAGCTGGCACGCGGGCGCCAGAGCTGCGGATCGGGGAGAGCACCCACCCGGGCAGGAGGGGCCAATGCCGCCTCATTTGGCGACGGGGCGCGCCGGCTTGATGTAGAAGCGGGACCCGTCGCTACTCCCTGCGCCCAGTGTCCATGCCTGCGTTTCCTCAGCTTGAGGCGCTGGACCCGCCCTGATGGCCAGCGGCGACGCTCCAGGCGACGGAAGGAGAATCCGACGATCGGGAAACGTTGGCCGTCATCCCCCTTTCTCCTTTTCGGACCTCTTCGCGTCGAAACCTTTATGTGGCACTGGCGCGGCGCTGACTTCGAGGGCAGCCCGTACCAGCGTGCTAAATGATCGCTCGGATTCGGCGCCGCGGAGTCACCAGCATTCTTCATAAGGCTACGCTTCCAACGTTACCATCTCAACAACATCCAGCAACGTCACTGTCTTGCCAACACAAAACTCTTGTTCGGCCTCCTTGACCTCTTCACCACTGACAACGTCATCAGTCATCCTGAAATCGGCCTCTCTGACTTGACCGCGACCGCGTATCATTCGATGTGTGTTCCACAAACCTCGATGCCAGTCCTCTTGTCCGCCTTCGATCATGCAAAGTGGTTTGGTAATGTCATCTCCTTGCGGCGGCGGACAGGGCAAACCCTCACTCGGGCAGCCGCATCGGACAGGCAGATCCCAAACCGGGAGGACGGGCGGGGCGGGATGATGCGGAGCGATCCGGGAATCCAAGTTCGAGCGTACCTTTAGCGAACGACCTGCACGCCCCGAGGGAGAGGCCAGACCGAGGCTGAGGAGGAGAAGCAGCGGGACACCCTGGAGCCCAACAACATCATCGAAAAACGCACCGACCCCCACCCCAAACCTCTGAGAACTGCCCCCTCGTCGTCATCCTCCTCCTCCTCGCGACCTGTTTCCCAGGAGCTGAGCTCAGCCTGTTATCACTACCTGATGGCGGAAATCCTGGAAATCTTCCTCCTCCACCTCCCTCTATTCCTCCTCCTCTTCCTCCGCATCCTTTTGCCTCCCGGCCTTTCCTCCTTCTCAATCCTCCTTCATCATTCGTCCTCCTTTCTCCTTCCTTCTGCCTCCCTCCTCAGCCTCCTCTTGCCTCTAGGCCGTTCCTCCTTTCTCCGTCGTCCTTCCTCCGTCCTCCTTCCTCCGTTCTCCTTCCTCCTTCCTCCTCCCCCTCCTCCTCCTCTTCCTCCGCCTCCTAGGCCGTTCCTCCTTCCTCCTTCCTCCTTCCTCATCCTCCTCCTCCACTTCCTCCCCCTCCTCCTCCACCACCTCTTGCCTCTGGGCCGCTCCTCCTTCCTCCTTCGTCCACCTCCTCCTCCTCCGCCACCTCCTCCTCACCTCCTCCTCCTTCTCCTCATCATCAGCAGCATTATCACCACCACCATCATCATAATCAGCATCAGCCTCATCATCATCATCATCATCATCATCATCATCATCATCATCATCATCATCATCATCATCATCATCATCATCGTCATCAGCAGCAGCAGCAGCAGCAGTCTCATCATCATCACCACCACCACCACCATCCTGATCATCAGCAACAGCATCATCATCGTCTTCATAATCAACAGCACCATCAGCATCATCAGCCATCATCATCATCAGCATCATCATCAGCATCATCAGCATCATCACCATTGCCAGCATCATCATCATGATGATCGTCATCATAATCGTCATCAGCATCGCCGTGATCATCATCATAAACAGCATCATCATCATCATCATCATCAACATCAGCCTCATCATCCTTCTTATTACCATCATCAACATCAGCATCATACTCATCGTCCTCATCAGCATCGTCTTCAGCAGCAGCGACATCACCAGCAATCCCAGCAACGCCAGCATCAGCATCATAACCAGGATCAGCATCATCATCATGAGCATCAGCATCATCATCATCATCACCATCACCTTCAGCATCATCATCAGCACCATCATCATCACCATCGGCAGCATCAGCCTAATCATTGGCAGTCACATCATCATCATCATCATCATCATCATCATCATCATCATCATCATCACCACCATCATCAATGCAGCCACCGACACTACCACCACCAGCACCAGCACCAGCACCAGCAACAGCAGCAGTCAGCACCAGCTTGCTTATCATCATCCTCATCATCAGCATCACCACCATCGTCATCATCAGCATCAGTACCATCATCATCAGCATCATCATGTCCATCATCAGCAGCATCAGCATCAAAAACATCACTATCATCATCGACATCACCATCATGAGCATAGTCATCAACATCATCGTCATCGTCATCATCATCCTCATCACCCTCCCTCTCCTCATCATCCTCATCCTCCGCATCCTCCTCATCATCATCACAACCATCATCAGCATCAGCAGCATCATCATAATAAGCATCATCACCATTATCATCATCGTCATCAGTAGCATCATCGCCATAATCGTCGTCATCATAATCCTCATCATCAGCATCATCACCAGCATCGTCGTCATCGTCATCGTCATCATCGTCATCATCGTCATCGTCGTCGTCATCGTCGTCACATTCAGAATAATCATCAGTATGACCATCATCATCATAATCATAATCAGCATCAGCATCGTTATCAACATCGACATCACCCTCATCATCATCGTCATCATCATCATCCTTGTGATCAGCATCGTCTTGGTCATCGTCATCGTCGTTGCCGTCGTCGCCAGCAGCATCATCACCATCACCACCATCAGTAGCATCATCCTCATCATCATCATCATCATCATCATCATCAACATACTCATCGCCGTCGGATTCGTCGTCGTCGCGATCCCTCCTCCTCGTCCTCTTCCTCAGCTTCCCCTGACGCCCAAGCGGGCAACAACCTGGACGGCAGTAAGCATCTTCCACTAGCAGTGGCCTTTCCTGGCCCAGCACGCGGTGGACTGAAAGGGGCCGTGCAGGAGAATGGAACGAAGAGCTCTAGAAAGGAGCAGGAAGCAACGAGGAGTGCGGCATGACGAGGAGGAGGAGGAGGAGCAGGAGAAGCAAGAGGAGGGGGAGGAAGAGGATGCGGAGGAGGGGGAGGAGGATGAGGAGGAGGAAGAGGATGAAGAGGAGGCGCAAGAGGAGGGGGAGGAAGAGCAAGATACGGTTACGGATCTCTTGGGAGGAAGAGGATGAGGAGAAGGATAGGGGAGGCCCCTCCAGAGGCCTGTCGACGCCCCCCGAGGTCCCTCCAGAGGCTGCCTGAGGCCCGCCGCTTCGATCCTCGATCCTCGAGGGAGGAGTGAGGAACAAGGGGGGGAAGAGGTGGGACGAGCGAGAGGTTATGAGTTTGGAGGAGGGGAAGGAAGAGGAGGCGGAGGAGGAGAAGGAAGGGGATGTGGCCTCTGGATGTCTCCAGAGGTCGCTGGAGGTCACTGGAGGCCTCTGGACTCTGGAAGCATCGAGAGGCGGCCGGGGGCCCCCAAAAATGACGGAAGCGCCCAACAACCTCGATCCGCGATCCGCGATTCTCGGCAAAGGAAGAGGAGGAGAAGTGGAAAGTGGGGAGTGGGAGAAGGAGGAGGAGGAGGAGGAGTGGAAAGTGGGGTTGTGGGGAATGAGGAGGAGGAGGAGGAGGAAGAGGAGGAGGAGGAGGAGGAGGAGGGGGAGGGAGGAGGATGAGGAAGACAAGGAGGATCAGGAGACCCTCGCAAGATAGGAGGAGGCGGGGAGGATCAGGAGGAGGAAGAGGGGGTGGGCGGAGGAGGAGGAGGGGGAGAGGGCGAGGAGGAGTGAGCAGGAGAGCGAGGAAGAGGCCTCTGGTCGAGTCGACATTGACAACCGCTGCCTGCCCGCTCACCCTGCAGCTGCGCAGTGAGACTCGTGAGCTGTCAGTCGCTACTGGCAGCTTCAGCGTGCACGACAAGCAAATCTGCGGGACCACTAACCCAAAAGGGATCTTCTCTGGCGGATCCAAGAGGTACCATCCCATTCTAGGGGAAACCTTGGAGAAACCAAATGGACGACACCGCTACTCCGCAGACCTCTCAGGGGGTACGCTCTGACCAGAATTGCGAGGCGAATCCAGCGGTGGCGACGAGGGCCTTCCGGGAGGCCCAGAAGAGAAAACAAAACAAACGTATCGGCATCGGTATCGGTACCTTTCCCTGCTCTGAGTGCCATCCTATTCTCGTCCCGCCTGAGCACGACGACGGCGGGGTGGTGTGGGCCCAAATAGGGCAGCTGGCCGCCACAACCACTGCCACCACCAGCACCAGCACCACCAGCAGCAGCAGTCACCATCACAATCACCAACACCATCATCAGCATCAGAATGACAGTCGCAATTTTCTGCACCATATTCATCATCTTCACAACTAACCACCATCTTCAACATCAGCTTCACCATCCTAGTCATAAACAGATTAATCAGCATCAACGTCGTCAGCATGATCATTATCGTTACTACCATCACCATCCACCCAAATACCCACCCACCCGCCCACCCTCCATCACCACCACCGTCATCGGCATACTATCCTTGTCATCGTCATCATCATCGCCACCGCCGTATTCAGCATCAGCATCAGCAAAAGCATCTGCATCACCATCATCATAAGCACGGTCGTCATCACGAGCATCGCCATCATCGTCATCATCAGCATCGTGGTCATCACCATCATCGTCATCATCTTCCTCATCATCATCTAAAGTAATATTTTTACCGCTATCATCATCAACAGCAGCATCGGCACCATTACCACCGTAACCAAAAACCTCAATATCATCAAATTCAACATGATCATCATACTCAGCGCCAACACCACCAGCATCGTCTTAGCACCGGTCGCATCGCCAGCAACATCACCAACGCCATCAGCACCCTCACCATCATCAGCATCGCCATCACAACCACCACCCAATCAAATACCCATCCATCCACCACCGCCATCATCATCATTATCACCACCGCCAGCATCACCCTCATCACCGTCTTTTCCACAACCATCAATCATCCTAATCATCATCGGCATCATAGCCGCCATCACCATCGTCATCATCAACATCATCTCCATCAAGGTCAATACTCTGTCAAATAAATCCACACCACTGCAAAACACGAAACACAAAATGGACCCTCTCACCCCCTTCCCCGGCTGAACCGGCTTCGAAGGTTGCAACAACTGATTGCGGACCCCCCTTCGATCTACGATTGACCATACCCACTCTGAGGGCACCTCTGGCCCTGTCCGCTTCCAGCGTTTCGGCGTGTGGTTGGCTATCCTCATCCGGACATGCCACAACCAACCACACGGGGCAGGCCGACGCTGCCACGAACGACCCCTCTGTTTCCGACTGCGTGAAAAATCAACACGTGCCACACCCAATCGCCAGAATATGTCAAGTGGGCTCAATGCGATGAGCGCAGACAGCTGAGCTGCTTGCGACACCCGAGAGCCTGGCTTTTTGGTCCTCGGGGGACGGAACAAAAAAACAACTGCACTCCTTTTCGTGACGTCGCGGCCTCCCGGCCGATGCATTGGTGGCCATCCGTCGGGTGCCCCCCGTTTCCTTGAACGGGGGGCGCCAACAACCACGGCCCACGGGCGTGAGCCACCTGACCCCTGTTGCTCGGCGCGCGTGGGACGCATCGTTCGTGCCACCTGCGGTTTCCAAACCTCGTGCCAAAGCCGCCAAGGCCACGCTACCGGACTCGAACACGGACACTGCAACAACTTCAGAACGCACCTACGAAGCCCATTTTTTTGTAAAGCAATCATTGTTCCTTTTCTGACTGCTGGGCCGAACACCAGAACAAAGGTCGGTTTCAAACGGCAACAACAATGACGCAACAACTCAACGACCATTCGAAAGATCCGCCGGAGTCCAACCCTGGCGCGCTGAGCACTCGCGCCATGCCGAAGTCGAATCCGGGAGAGACTTGCAGCTGACGACCCCTAGCTTGCCGAATCAGAGTGAGGGGGCCGAACGGTCATTCATTGTGCCCGGGCGCGTGGCTGAATAGGGAATTCGTGGTGAGACTTCTGCTTGTTGCGTTGTTGGTGTTGATGGTGTTGGTGGTGTTGTTGTTGTTGGTGTTGTTATTGTTGTTGTTACTTATTGTCGTCCCACCCGCGACCCACCCGCGACCAACCCCGCGACCCACCCCGCGACCCACCCCGCGACGCACCCCGCAATCCAACCACGCGACCCACTTGCGACCCAACCCGCGACCCACCCGCGACCCAACCCGCGACCCGCCCGCGACCCACCCGCGACCCACCCCGCGACCCACCCGCGACCCACCCCGCGACCCATCCGCGACCCATCTGCCACCAATCCGCGACCCAACCCGCGACCCACCCGCGACCCACCCTCAAGGGAGGAAAAACCCCCTGGACCCGACAACTGGCGTTTACTAAACATCTCTGCCCTGTTCGATTCATTCTTTGGGTGCGTTTACTCAACAGCTTCACTCGTCGGGGTGATTATTATGGAGTGGATTTCCTGCCCTCTACACCCGCGACCCACCCGCGACCCAACAGCGACCAACCCGACACCCACCCGCGACCCACCCGCGACCCATGTGCGACCCACGCGCGACCTACCCACATTGGTTTCACGAGAAAATCTGCGCCTCTGGCAGGCTCGTTGTATAATTTGTGAAACTTTGTCGCCTGCGGCGGGCTTCTCCACAATCTCGCAAACTGCCGACGTCCCCACCGACCCCCACTCTTATCCGCATATGCGGGGTGCTACGGTATACCCACATTACTGCAATATAGAAAACATAATGTGCACCCCCCTCCCCCCCCCAGCTGAGCCGGTTTCGAAGGTTGCAACATTTGATTGCGCACCTCTCTTCGATCTACGACTGAGCATACCCGCTCTGAGAGCACCTCTGGCCCTGTCCGTTTCCAACGTTCCGGCGTGTAGTTGGCGATCCTCATCAGGACATGCCACAACCAACCACACGGGGCAGGCCGACGCTGTCACGAACGACACATCTGTTTCCGACTGCGTGAAAAATCAACGATACGTGCAATTCCCAAATCGTCGGAAGATGTCAAGCTGGTTCAGTGCGATGAGCACAGACAGCTGAGCCGCCTGCGTCACCCGAGAATACGGCTGTTTGGCCCTCAGAAAACAGAAGAAACAACTATATGATCATCATGTTCGAAGGCTCCATCGCCATAATATCCCATCTCACCATGACCATCGTCAGCACAAGTATCAACCCAATCGTAATCATCAACATCATCATCGTCATCATCACCATCAGCAGCATAATCATCGTCATCATCATCAGCAGCAGCATCATGATCAACCTTAGCATCATCATCAGCGTCATCACAATAGGCATCTACAGCAGCATCACCAGCATCATCAGCATTATCAGCATCACCGACATCATCATCGTCATCATCATCCGCATTCTCATCCTTATAATCAACCAACATCATCATCAACGTCAGAATCGTTATCATCATCACTATAACCATCCTCAGCAGCATCATCATCATTATCCCCATCGGCCGCGTCCTTATCATCGTCCTCATCCTCATCCCCATCCTCATCATCATCCTCATCATCATCATCACCATCACCATCATCATCATCATCATCATCATCATCAACATCATCATCATCATCATCATCATCATTATCAGTATCATGATCATCATCCTGATCGCCACCATCAGCATCACAGGCCTTACCATCACCACCAGTATCGCCCACATCCGTATCCTCATCATCATCGTCGCCATAATCAACAAATCACATTATACACCATCATCGTTGTCATCATCATCATCAGGATCATCATCATAAGCATCATCATCCTCATAATCATCATCATCATCATCCCCGTCATCGCCGTCGTCATCGTCATCGAAATCGTCATCGTCGTCGCCGCCGCCGTCGTCGTCGGCATCATCATCATCCACATCCTCATCCGCATCATCATCATCATAAGCATCATCAGCATCGTCATAATCATCAACATCACTATAGCACCATCACCTCCATAGCCATCATCATCGTCACCGACATCATCATCAGCAGCATCATCATCACAATCACCATAGTCGTGATCAGCATAATGATCAACAGCATTGTGGTCGTTACCTTCATAATCGTCATCATCAGAAGCATCATTTCCATCGCCATCGCCATCGTCATCGTAATCGGCATCGCCATCGTCACCGCAGTCGCCATCATCGTCATCATCACCATCAGCAGCATCAATATCATCCTCATCCACATCGCCAAATTCAGCATCATCATCCCCAGCATAATCAGAATCCACATCATCACCCTCATCCCCATCATGTTCGCCAAAAGCATCATCATCATCATAGTCACCATCACATTAATCATCAGCATCATCGTACTCATCATCATAATCACCATCCTCAGCATCCGCATCATCATCCTCATCCGCATCATCAGTTTTATCACCATCATCATCATCGTCATCCTCATCATCATCATCAGCTCACCGCTAGCATCATCCTGATACCATCAGCATCATCATCATCGTAATAGCCATCGCCATCGTCAGTGCAATCGCCGTCGTCGTCACCATCGCCATCATCAGCATCATCGTCAACATCATCATCGTCATCAGCAGCATCATCATCGTCACCATCATCCTCCTCATCCTCCACCTCATCCTCAGCATCCTCATCAAATCATCATCATCAGCATCACCATCATCATCATCGTCATCGCCATCGTCGACGTCATCGCCATCATCAGCATCATCAACACCATCATCATCAGCATCATCATCATCACCATCATCATCATCACCGCCAGCAGCATGAGCATCACCCTCGTCATCATCATAATCATCATCATTATCCTTATCCTCATCATCATCAGTACCATTATCAGGACCATCGCCAGCATCAGCATACTCATCAAGAGAGTCAGAATCATCATCAACATCATCATCAGCATCATCATGGCAATCGGCAGCAGCAGCATCACCATCATCATCATCGTCATCATCATCAGAATCGGCATCATATGCAGCATCATCAGTAGCATCATCATCATCAGCATCATCGCCATCATCGTACTCATCATCATCATCCTCATCATCATCTCCATCGTCGTTATCGTCATCGCCATCGCCATCGTCATTGGCATCGTCGTCGTCATCGTCGTCGTCGTCGCCGCCGTGGTCGGCGTCGTCAGCTGGGCTGCGCGCCATACTGGCGGGCGCGTCGACCTCCGCACAGCCGGAGAGCGACGGACCTCGGCCGGCAGCTCGCGGGAGGGGTGGCGGGGCCCTCCCCTCCGAGGGGCACCGAGGATCGAGAGGGAGGGAGGGAAGCAAAAGGAGTTGGGAGGAGGAAAGGAAGGAGGGAGCAGGGAGGAAGGGGGGAGGGAGGAGGGAACAGAAAACGAGTGAGGAAGACGACGACGAAGAAGAAGAAGAAAATGAAGAAGGAGAGGCAGAGGAGGAGGAGGAAGAAAAGAGAGGAGGAGGAAGAAGAGGAGGAAGAGGAGGAAGTAGGCGGAGGAAGAAAGGCGCAGGAGGGAGAGGCAGGAGGAGGGAAGAGAAGGACGAGGGGGAGGAGGTAAAGGAAGGATGATGATGATGAGGGCTTGTGGGGAGGAAGGAGGAGGAAAAAGGAGGAGGGAAGAGGAGGAGGGAGCAGGGAGGAAGGAGGAAGGAGGCAGTCAGAAGAAGAGAAGGTATGAACCACAAGAACAGTAATATGTTGGCCAACGTGGAGCCCGAAAAATGATATTCTTGCAATATACGTGATGCAACACATGTGGTGAAATCTATGTGGTCCGATACATGTGGTGTGAGCTACGTGGTGCAAACTGTGTGGGGCAATCGATGTAGTGGGGCCCACTGCACCCGCCGATATGGTGGGAGATATGTGGTGGAATCGTTGTCGTGCAGTACATGTGGTGCAATATGTGTAAACTATGTGGGGCCATCTATGTTGAGCAATCGATGTGGTGCAATATGTCAATGCGGTGCAATCGATGTAGCGCCGCCTATACTAAGCAATCTACATATGGTGTCAGTTATGTGGCACACACTAGATTGACCAAGATGTGGCGCTATCTGTGTGGTGCAGCCAGTGTGGCGCATAAAAAGTGGTACAGTCCATGTGGTGTCTTCCCCCCCCCCACACACTTCCCATATCTTCCTATATTTTCCTGGGAGTCGACGATCAATTGTGTCTGTGCTTTTCCAGGAGGAGAAGAACGGAGAATGTGACACCGCCGGGGTGAAGACTGGGAGGTCCGAGGCGCCCGCGCACTGAAAACATGACGTCGGGAGTCCGGGGGGATCGAGCCGCGGGGATCGAGCAGCGAAGATATCGAAGACGCGAGGACCGAGGCTTCGAGGGTCGAGGATCGGGGATCGAAGATCAAGGATTAGAGGATCGAGGACTTGAGGATCGAGGATTTGAGGATTTGAGGATCGAGGGATCGAGGATTCGAGGGTTCGAGCATCGAGGATCGGGGACCGAAGATCGAGGCTCGGCGATCGAGGGTTGAAGCCCGAGGATCGGGGATACCGGTCGAGGATCGGGGTCGAAGATGTCGACTGTCGAGGATCATGGTTTCATGATCGACGCTCGAAAGGCAATTTTCATGATATCGAAGCACGAGGATCGGAATTCGATCATCGAAGTTCGAGACGGGAGGACCCCAGAATCTCGGATTGAGGATCGAGGGTCGAAATTCAAGGGGCGACGATCCAGCATCGAGGGTCGGTGACCGAGGCTTTTCTGGATGGAGGCTCGGGGGTTCAAAATCTCGAGGATCGAGGAGCAAGGTTCGAGGCGGAGTTCGTGGATCTCGAAGGTCGAGGGTCGTGGCTTCCAAGACCGAGGTTCCGGGATCGAGATACGGGTTCGATGATCGAGGTTCGAGGGTCGGGGCTCGAACAGTGGAGCTCGAGGCTCGAGGCTCGAGGCTCGAGGATCGAGGTTCGAGGATCCGGTTCGAGGATCGAGGATACATCTATGTGTGTATCTATAGACACATAGAACCACACGCGCTACGCGCGCTTAGGTTCTGAACACAGATCGGCCATAATTCTCGATATTGCTCGTGCCATGGGCGACACTGCGAATATCCCCGCATTTGGGTTTTGTGGAGCCTCCATCCGCCTCGGCCCTCTGCTGTCCTCGTCCCCCTCGGTTCTCACCGTTGCTATGGTCATCCTCCTTCTCCTCCCCTTCCTTCTGTGCTCCCTCTGTGGTGTTCCCATTCCTCTCTCCTGACAGGGAACCTCTCAGACTTCACCCAAGACAGGGAACCTCTCAGAAGGCCCGAGGGCTTCTGAGAAGACCCCGCCGCCTTCTGAGAGGACCTTCTCCTTCTCACCTCCCCCAATCGCTTGCCGCCGAACCATGGGACCATGGGTGTACTCCGATCCTGGGCCCATGATGGGCCTGCCCAGAGGCGCCTCCACAGGTCGCCAGTGAAGCTCCCCGAGGTCCCCAGAGATTTGCGGAGGCCCTCTGAAGCCTCGGGGGGCCCCGACCAACGCCAAACGCGTCCAAATTCCTCGATCCGTGAACTTTCGAAGATGTTGTTCGACACGTCTTGTCCAGCACGGTGTGCGCGGGAGCGGGGCAGGGAGCGAGGAGAGAAAGACCCGCCACCCCGAGCTCTCCGCTGGGGAGCCCCCCAGCCTCCTCGGCCCCCAAGGGGTCGGGAGGGGGGCGCCACCGAGGGCGGGGAGGGCGGCAGGCTTCGCTCCCGCGGGGCAGCCGTCCTGAGCCGTGAGGACGGAGAGGCGGGCGCGAGAACGCCCCACCCCGACGTCCAGGGACGCCTGACGCGGGGGCCGCAGAGAGCGGGGGACCGTCGTCCGAGACCGGCAGCGGGCGCTGTTCGGCAGGCGACGCTCGCCCCCCCCCCCCCCACGCGGACATCGTCGGCGGCGGCGCCGGCGGCAGACCCTGGCCAGGGCAGGCAAGTTGGCCCCTGCAGAGGGGAACGGCTCCAGGACCCCGGGGCTGAACCCCCAGACCGCACTCTCCGCCCCGAGTCGCTTTCACGCTGGCCCGAGGCCCCAGCAGAGCCTAAGGGGCCAGAAACAATGGCAGAACCTTCCAGGCCCCCTTACCCAGGACTACTTTTCTTCGCGGGGACTGTTCAAAGTGATGTTTTAGGTCATCGTCCCCGTGCTTCCCGAAACTCTGCCTGAGGAGGAAGAGGAGCACCTAGCCGGGGACGATGTTTGTTTCAAGCGAGTGCTGTGCGTGAGATGTGCAAGAGACTAGCTCGAGGGCGCAATTGGCTTCCAGACCTACAAGACTGTGATGCTTTGTTGAGGGGAGGAGACGCTGAGGATGGTGATGATGATGCGAGGAGGAGAGAGAAATAGGGTAAGAGGGAGGAGGAATCTGAGCAGGAGAACGAGGGGAGAGGGGGAGGACAAGGAGTAAGAGGGAGGAGCGGGCAGGAGAGGAGAAGGAGTGAGGAGTGCGGAGGAGGAGTGAGGAGTGATGATGCTGATGATGATGATGATGATGATGATGATGATGATGATGATGATGATGATGATGATGATGATGATGATGATGATGATGATAATGATGATGATGATGATGATGATGATGAGGAGGAGGAAGAGGAGGAGAGGAGGAGGAGAGAGAGGAGGAGGAGGAGGAGGTCCTCGGAGGTGGAGCAGCAGCAGGAGGGGGAGGGGAAGCAGAGGGACGAGGAGGAGGAGGAAGATGGAGGAGGAGGAGGAGGAGGAGGAGGAGGAGGAAGATGGAGGAGGAGGAGCGAGTCGAGTGAAGGCGGTCTTCGCCCCCGATCTGCCCGAAAACCTCCTGGGCCCGAGCGCTGCCGGCGCCCGCCCGGCCCCGGGCGACCTGCCAGGCCCTCGCCGAGCTGGGCCGCGCGGGCCGCCCCGGCGGGCGCGGTCGAGCTGGAGCTGGCGGAGGTGCCGGTCCACGACTCCCAGAGGGCAGCGAGCATGCCCCTGGGAGGGGGTCGGGCGAGGGAGGGAGGGGGCGCAGGTGGGCAAGGAGTGATGTGGACGAAGAGGGGGTGGGGGAGGAGGAGGAGGAGGAGGAGGAGGAGGAGGAGGAGGAGGAGGAGGAGGAGGAGGGGGCCATTCTGGCCTCTGCGGGGTGGGGGCGCACCCCCCCACCCGCGCAAGGAGGGGCCAGCTCCACTGCACTGCCGCCATGGCGGCGCGTGTGACCAGCTGTCGAACTACAAGCTGACAAGAAGAAGATCATCCACCAGCCGGAGAACCGCAAGCCGAGGAAGATCATCCACCAGCTGACGAACTACAAGCTGCACATCCACAACATTGGTTTCGAGACTTATGCCGAGACTATACCCGCATAGAAAGAAAAGCGAACATCTTCAGCCCTCAAGAGAGCGGGTTATCTCATCCGACACGGGCTACAACCACACCTCAACGACATCATGACCATCGCTACGACCGGCTGCATGATGGCGTCCAATAAGGACGGGATGAACTGCGTAACATACAGCCTGTGTTAGGGCTGCGCAACATGCAGCCTGAGGAAGAGCAGCATAACAAGCAACCTCTGTACTGCACCAAGGTCTCAACCGACATCGACACCAGGAAAGACACGACCGAGCAGCCCGAAAGGGTTACTAAGTGCGTCGTCGTGGAGGTACTGGTCTACAACGGCCGCGCCGCCTACGACGAGTACTACTACGAACAATACGGTTGATAACAACCTGTACTCCTACGACCCCCAGGACTACGACGGACCGCAGGGCTACCACAATCGCCGGGACTACAGGGGCACCCAGAACGTATAACACTCAGACTTGGCAGCCGACGACTCCGACTCGGACCCCGGGGCCTACGAGGAGAGCGTGCCCTCTGACCTGGTCTAGCCACCAGCAGAGCTACCAGGGCGACCAGACGACCTTCGAGGAACGCAAGCTGAACTACGAGGAACACACGCACAGCCCAGAGACCAACCAGAAGACCTTCAAGTCCCACATGCCGAGGAACGAGACTCGCCAGCAGAGCCACGAGAACCAGAACCAGAGCTACAAGAACAAGAACCACAACCAGAAGTACTACAGGACCCACCTGCCGCGCCGCGAGAGCCACCTGCCGAGCCACGAGAGCCACGAGCTGAGCAACGAGGACCCAAAGCTCAGCCACGAAAGCCAAAAGCAGGACTACAAGAACTACCAGCTGAACCACGAAGGCTGC